CATTGTGTTGAGAGTCAGGCGCAAAAAAGCGAAAAGAAAGGGAAGTGAGTGGGAGTCGGAACCGGGACAGCATTAGGAGCCGTGGCAGTAGCTGGAAGGAATACTCGCTCGCAAAGAGGACGACACTGTGCGCACTTTTGTGCGTTTTGCATGAGTGCCAAAGAATCGAGAGGAGTCCCTGACTTGAATACGAACTATGTGAACTACGTGCACCTCGCCCATGTGAAACAATGCGAGCAAACAATGCAGAGCCGACAAAAACCTCGGGCAAATAGCCATACACCCTGTACACACACGCGCGCACACACAAAAACACGCACACACGCACACATACACTGCGAAATAGCAATAACAATGGACAAGCCCTGGTGCTAGTAAATATGCAGTCCAAATATGTCTGTGAGTAAACACGACTAAAGTGAACCTGAACCTCACGTCCAGAGCAGGCAGCCTCGTCGCTCTGCTTTTTCAGAAATTTATTCTGCTATCTGCATCAGATGTCAGAGCAAGTGGATAAATGCTTCAAGTTTGATGCGCAACCACCCGAAATTCAGCCTCTACTATGCATATTGCAGCGGATAAGTAGCAACTCTTTCCGCATCCAACATTTATGAGATTCAATTTCGATAGACAAAACATATTGAACAGGCAACTAACTCGAAAGTCCTGTCTGAGAGATTTTAGCATGGCAAATAAAAAAACTAAGATTGAGTTAGACAATTGAGTTTAATTGTTCTTCTAATCTATTCTTGCCTTATTCAAATCAATTCAATAATTATTAATTTCACTTGAATATTTGTATAGTTAGGCTTTCAGTAATAGTTTGAATTTGATTACTCCTTTTGAATGCTAAAACCAATTCATATTTACTTTTAGCAAGTTGTAGTTATATTCATGTAGATAATAAAAATATTAGAAAGAAAAATTGCATACAATTTTTCTGAAATTTGATTTCAAATATAGAATTGGACTCAAAATACATATATTATATATATAATATAATATAATATAATATAATATAATATAATATAATAATAATATAATATAATTTATTCATGTAGATGATAAAAATATTAAAATGATTTTCAAAGAAGATTTTATAAAATTTCTCAAATTTATTTAATTTCAAATACAAAATTGGACTTGGTTCAAAATATATCAATTTATTCATATAGCTAATAAAAATATAAAAAGAAAAATTTTATAAAATTTTTCTGAAATTTAATTTCAAATACAAAATTGGACCTAGCTCAAAATATATGAATTTATTTTCTAAATTTGAGATGCATGGCCAAGCTATACAAAATTATTACACTTTTCAACTTTATAATATAATTTATTTAATACATAGAAATATCTTGATGTAAATCTCACAAAGACACGGTTCTTTTAATTATCTCAAATCATAAATTGAATTAAAGTTCCCGAAATATGCTTTTCGAGTCAAGAAAAATTAAGCTGTGAATATTAATTTTATAAGCTTTAATTTTTTTTTATTCTAATACTCGTATCTATCGAAGTTTTCTAAGCCTATATATAATTTAAGATATTATGGACAGTGCGCACCTTCAATTCCAGTCAGTCTGTTCTTGTGTGCTGCATGCATTATCGAAGCTTTTGGTATTGTCATCAGTGAGCAGGGCAGGCATTAATCAAATTACACGACCAAAGTCCGATGAGTCTTATCTCTGAGGGCTTGGCCATGTACATTGCAGCAATATCGCATATCAATCCTAATAGCAGCTGTCGCGTTATCATCCAATCATGCCCCCGAGAGTTTTATGTCAATATGTAAGCATTTCTATTAGCCTACTATCAGGAGTTGTCCTAACCATTACGAAACACCCGCCCCAACCACAAGCCGCTCAGTTGCCGGTTCATTTGGGCAAAAGCTTTCCATTTCTTTCTTGCGTTTTCCTTTTTCTTTTTTTTTTTTTTTGCTTCCTCATTTCCTTTTCTGTTTGACCTAGACATGTAGAAGTAAGCACATGTGATACTGTGTGTGTGTGTTACATAAGTATATGTGCTCTGTTTGCAAAATACGCACATTTTTACCCAATTGACATTTCAGCTAAAAGTCTTTGCTATCACCGGCACGGAAGTGCTGGGCGGGACTGAAACCGACTCGAACCAGAAACCTTTCCGAGTTTCCTGTTTCTCGACTGTTGGTTGCTGTCCTGCCCTCCCGCAGGCAAACGACCAACAAACAACGGTGACTCGCTGCCTTTCAATCTCTCTGTCTCCCTCTCTGTGCCTCTTTCTTTCTTTTTCCTGACATTTCGCTAATGGTGTGTGCGCTATAAAGCCGGCTAATGCCCGTAGAACCCTTTCACTCAGACTCCTTCTCTCTCTCTCTCTCTCTATGGCTCTCTTGGCCCTATAATAATTGCCGTCCTTCGCTTGGGCATACGAAAAATAAGTATTATTGAACACCGCCTACCCTCGATGCCTTTTGTAAAAGGCAACAATAGTTCAGCAAAGCAAAGGCCCTCAAAGACTTTAGAGTACAACAAAAAAAAGTAAATAACAGTTTGCTGCATTTATATCTACGTAGCTCGGCTGATGGATGGCTGGATGAATGGCTAGCTAGAGCTGCTTAGGATACGTCAAATGGAACCCCGGCGAGTGTTGTCATGGCCATGTGAATGTTACAATAATTGCGGGTTTTCCACAGGAAGGCGACAATTGAAACGGTTAATTGGAAACTCTGTTCGCCAAACAGCAGCAATTGAAACATGACACTCTGTCAGTCAGGGGCATTTTTGAGAATAGCCAAATATTTATATTTATATTGAAGAGCATTAAATACCTAAAGGAACTTTTAAGTAGCTAAAATCAAATGCGAGCCTGAGCATATATAAATTTAGATATATTTTATGCTACGCAAGAAAAGCCCCAATCCCTAAATAACAATCGATTACATAGCTACGGAAATCAGGGACACGGGAGGCATAAATATTAGAAAATCTACGTTCAAGCGAAGCATCTTTGGACATCTCTGTACAATTTAGGTGTGCGTTCGTTTCTAATTTGACTAAAGCCTCTTGAAACATTTTTTCCAAAGCCCCAAAGGCAATCTGGGAAACTCAATTACGAGTAGTTGGCAAAAAAGGAGTAGATAAGGGCCAAGAACCCGGGACCAAGACGAAACGCAACAGTTAAATGGGTCATTTGGTCTATTTATCATTTTTGACTGGGCCTGCTTTGAGCAGCAGTTGGTCATTCAATTTGTGCGCTGTAACTGGCGGCAATCAATCAAAATGCGCAAATCGCAGGGCAAAACCAAAAAAGGGAAAGCACAAATAGACCGGGTCAAAGCTGGCTATCAACCCTTTTGTTTGTGGGGCACTGCAATCTAAACACGTGAAATTGGGTAATCGTTTGTGCGTCCTCCGAACTGGACAGACGAAGAGTCAATTGAGGAACAACTCAAAGTTGTAAGTCCTTAAATCGATACTTGCAAGACAAATGGGCCCATTTGCCAGCAGCTGGCCTCGCAGCCAAAAAATGTATATTTCTCCAAGCCAAATAAATAAATTTGCCTCTACTGAATGCCGTAAGTATATTAAAACATTAAATTGTATTTGATATGCAAACAAATACATGAAATAAATCGCAATTGCTGATATTTCACGTTCTGAATTGAGAGTTTCTCTTTCTCTGTAAATCTATCCTGAGCTGTCAGCATTTTGTTACAATTTATTTTGTTCGGACTTTCAATCTATGACCCGCACCCTCTCGCCCTCTGTCATATTATAAAATTATAATGAGCATTAGCGATTTGAATAAGCTATGTTAGCCCTGCTCTTGTACTTTATAGCCATAGAGTTTTTGCCTTTACATCTTCATTTAGCTCAAGTGATTTACACTTTTTTTGTGTTTGCACCTCCTCGACTCCTTGCCTGCTTGCCTCCTTGGCACGTTGCCTCCCCGTCTCCTTGCATGAATAATGCATTGTAATTTCACAGCATTCCGTAAGTTTCAATCTTAACGCTTCCATCGTTATTATAGTCATCATTATTATCATTGCCAGTATTCGTATTATTATTCCCATCATGTTGTTCCATCGTTTTGAATTACAAATTTATGCCAAAGTTGTGTCTAGTTGCAACTGTGCTGCCCTCGCGTTCGTTTATGAAAATGCCAAATGCAAAAAGCAAACTTCAACAATTTTGCGGTTTTCCATGGGAATTTTATTTACGTCGACCAACATGAATAGAAAGAAAATTTATAAAATTTAAATTTCTACTAAGTGCAATTATAAACTTTGCAGCTAATAAATAAAAAAGAATAAGAAATTTTATATTGTTATATTAAAACTTATGAAGAACATAAATGTTTTGCTAGAGCTTTAGAACTTTATAAATTTCTATATTTGTTTAGACTGACTTCCGGGCTGGTTTCGATTTATCCTTAGCTGCCTTTCTCACTTTACTTATATTAATATATTTAAATATATAAATATCTTTATAGTCATAAGCACACGCTAGATAAACTGTGGCAGGCTACAAATAGATGTAGATATTTGCAAATAGAAATTGCTCTTCATTTATGCCACTTAAACGGATAATACCTATGACAGGGCATAAATAAAATAGGAAAAAAATCAAAATAAAATATTTGAAGCTAAAGATCCATTCGTCAAACGAGCAAAGCAAATGTCAGTTCAAGGCAGCTGCCTTGGTCCAAAATTTGATTATGACTTGAGGCCAAATGTATTTGTGACAGGTACAAATCCAACGGTTGATTGAAACAGAAACAGAGCCCACGAGAGAGCTTAAGCTTGAAATCCTTTTTATTTGATGCGAAGCTATATATAGTTTCATTAACTTAGATATCATTTATTGAAATGGCTATCTGGCCTCGACCCATCAAGGCTCTGTCCGTGCTTTCTCGTCGGTCAGCCTGAGCGCATATGAAGCGTGAATATGGACTTAACGCTAAATAAAACCAGCCCACATGGAACTGTTTCCATTTACCAAATTGAAGAACATTTGTCGTTAGTTTATTTAGTTTTATATTTTCAACACAAAGAACACCCGGCGCCGGAGGTTTCACGATGACGAAAGAAAAAATCATAAATACGGATTAAACAAATAACATTTAGATGTTGGCGATTTTGGTCCTACGGTGAGGTGCTCGAAATGATATCGCAGCTATTTAAATACAATGGCTACGCAACAAAAAGGAAGAATTATTCTAATACAAATTTCTGTGGATCAGATGGAAACTTAAAGAATATTGTTATTGGATGGAAATGCCGACTTGCCTCAATGATCACCTCCTGCTTGCCGGCAGATAGATCCTTAACTTGTTTCAATACCTTCTTTTTCTTGGCACGTTTTGGCGGTTGTCGTCTTTCGTATATACAGTTGTAAATTCCGCAGCCGATTGTCAAGGCTACGGCGACGCTTAGAGCCAGCCCGATCCGCACCAGCCAAGTGGCATGCTCGTAGTCAGTGTTCAGCCAAGGTAGTTGGTAGACCTGATCTATTGCTTGTATGTAGCGAATGTAGGCTTGTATGAGTAGGCCATTTGGATGCTGCCAGAAGGGCATTGGGTCTGTTTCCTGCCATCTTGTTTCCGCCAGCTCCCTCAGCTCGTCGACGCTGTGGACAATCGGCAGCTTGCGGAATACACCATCTTTAACATGCAAAATTGTGGGCAACTCATGCAACGAAAAGCGCCTAATCACTGTTTCCGAATATTCCAGCTTCATGCTGGCGACAATCATGTCGCTCTTTTCCAGCTGCTTCTCTCTGGCAAACTTGCTCCACACGCGTTCAAACTTAATGCAGGTCATTATCAGCGGCACGCAGAAGCCGATCATCCACTCGCCCTGCAGCATCAGCTCCCACGAGCTCTCATCCAATATGAATTTCTCGTTCTTTGGATTCTCGCTCGACACGCAATGTTGCAGTTCGCAGGCAACTCCGCAGAGCAGCAGCGTGGCAGCTGCGCACAAAATATGTGGCGAGATTTGCATGATATTCGGATACTCGGATATTCGGAAAGGCTCGATGATTCAAAAAAAAAAAATAATAAAATAAATTGTATATATGTACATATATAAATATATATATGTATATATATATATATAGGCATATGTAATAAGTAAATCAGATCTCACATGACAGTTGAGAAAGCAAAAAGGAGAGGGCGAGCTGTCTCGTTTGCAAGGCCTTCTCATTGCGGCGACGGATGGCCATTGTTGAACGAGGAGTGAAATCATCTAACAAACATCTTAAACTGATGATACAGCGATCTGTAAAGAAAGGCATCGCATTAGGAATTAATGAGATCCACTTTCTTAATTGAAAAATCACTAAAGAAAACGGCTTAATTTAAAGAAATAAACCTATTTATAAATGAAATATGAATATATTCAAGGATATTTAAGACAGACGACCAAAAAGATAAGTTCTACTGAGCCACTAAGCCATATGGACAGATTTTTGAAGAAAATAGCAAAAACCAAGGCGCACTGAACTCGGTGAATAGTGAAATATGAATAACGAATAGAGTCGGGTAGAAGACGCCTTAAAGCAGTTGCGAGACAGTTTCTAAGGATGTAACGTCTTTGGTATTTGAGCATGTGAATAGGATATATTAATGCGGAATTAAGAAATACGATTGCCGAGTTGAATGTCGGACGTTGGGAAGGTGCCATCGATAACTGCACGGGCAGCCGTACGCTTGGCTGACTAAGAGAGCAAATGACGATTTGATACGCAGGCAACCTGCGGCCAGGTAGCGCGCGTCCAAGCTGCTGCCACAGAGACCCATGTCAGCAGCGACCTGCGCCCTGACTCTGAGCCAAGGCCCAGTTGCATTGTTTGAGCAACGTTCCGAATTTGTTGTCTAGCTATTGTCAGCATTATGATGGATTTTCTGCACATGCCAGACGCAGAGCCCTATTTGGCTCTAGAGTTTCCCACGGTAGACGAAGCGCGCTAAACCTGCAGCCATCACCTGTGTCCTTTCACATTGGAATACCCACCGATAGTGCGTGACCATTTTCAGCGCTTATGGCAACCAGAAGAAAGAAAACATAAAAATGTTCGGTTCCCAGACATCTTGCACAGCAATTGGCGCGCTTTTAACGCTCTATCTCTTGATCCGTCTAATCCAATTTTCCTTAGATTTACAGACGACCGCCGAGTGTCTAAGAACATGCCCGTCTGTCTGTCTAGTCGTCTGACTATCTAGTCGTCGTTGCGATCTCGCAAGCCGCAAAAGAGATTTCAAATTTTCGACAACTCATCAAATTTCTTAATTATCTTTAGTGTTATGAATACACTGAGACAATGGAGACTTCTTTGTACTTGTTATGCAGACATCAACTCTGCGCAGGGTTCCGGGTATATTCTAGTCGGCGACTCTTGGCTACAGCACTCTTCCTTGGTTTTAATAGTACTTTCTAATAGTACTTCCTATACATATCAATAAAATACAGAATGAAGTAACCAAAACAAAACCTGTGTCATTTTCATATCTGAGTTACATTCGTAATCCAAACAAATTTGACAACGAACACTTAAGAATGGCATAGTCGGATGTGCCCCACTAGGAGCTATCTTGAAACTTAAATTAAATAATTTTGGGCAAATTTAAAGCCGATATTCAAAATATAACAAAATCAAAATTGAATAAAATACACATAAAACTACTTAAACAATTTAAATGTTCGAAATCAAAAGATTTAAAAACTGAATTAATAATAATGTTTTTAATCAATAACAATTTCTTTTTTGAAATAAAATGTAAAATTTTTGACTAAGAGATAAACTCTAAAATGTAATATATTCATTAGTCACATAAAAATAATCGAAAGGAATTACTTGGTAAACAAATATTGCTATTAAGTTTATTTTATTTGAATTGCTAATAAGAAGTCTTCAAGAATGTTTATTTTATAATTTTATTTATAATTTATTTCATAATTTATTTGATATAAATTATAGTCCAAATATCTAAAAAAAACTTTAATCTATCAGTGGTAATAAATATAGCAAATATCTCAGCTCTCTTTCTCCTTCATTCTTCCGTGAGATGCACTGACAACTGACCTGCATCAGCGTGTATATACCCTGTACCCAGACAACCGTTATGAGTAAGCATCAAGTAAAATATCGCCGCCCATTAGTGGCGTAAATTATATTCAGTGCTGCAAATGAACGAATGAATGTGGCGCACGTGAGTTTGGCAAATAACGTTATTCCGGATAGGCATGCCACAAAAGCTTATTTTGGCTTCGTTTTAATTAAAGCGGCGTCCAGAGCCAAGCACCACGCACCACGCACCACCAACCAAGAACCATGCACCACCAGCTGACAGCCAACAAATGACAACCGCATTGCAGTATGGAAACATGGCGCTAATTACGAATCGCATTCATCAATTGAATGTCGCAGACCAGGCATATTTCGAGCCTCGCAGACCGGATGTGGGCGAAATGGCCGGCTTTCGGGCAAAATTGTTAAATTAAAAAACTGGTCGTAAATGGAAGCGACCATGTCAGAAATTAATTAAATTAAGCTACAATATTTTTTTTATAAATAAATACCGCAGTTAACATACTGCGTATGCACATCGCATATTATGTTATGCTAAGAATGCAGAGGGGAATTCAAATAATATTCGACTATGGTCCAAAAATTATTTCGAGTGTGCTCCTTATGAATAAATATAATGTATTATTCCCTTGTAACTGAAATCGCAAAATATATGAATTTAAATATAAAACTCTAATCGGGAGTGCCTGACTATGCAGCACCTCTATGGTTACTATCAATGCCAAGATAGACAAAACACACGCAATTTCTCCTGTACACGCACACCTCTAGTCGGGATTACTCGACTGTGAGATACCTGTGCACCAGCTACACATTTTTGGCGAAAGGGGGCTGTATCCAAATCCAATCGTTTTATCGATTATTATAGACGGACCAGCAAACGAATTTCAAGCCTCTAGCTCTCATATTCTCTGACGCAGAGACGGACAGAGCTAGATCGACTACGCCATGTATCCGAGTATTAGAGTACTGAAGAAAAATAAAACAACAAGTTGAATTCACTAAAGGTAATTTATGCATGTAAGAAACTCTTAACAACTGGAAAAATTAATAATCTAATAGATGCCCAATTACATTCAATTAACAGATCTACTAAGGTTTTAAGAATTGCACAGGATATTACCAGATCCATGCTCAACAAGATCAGTTTTATGATTGCGAAAACCTTCTTAATTCTGAGCACCAAGACATTGCCACGATTCTGCAGCACAGTATGAAGACATTCATTAAATCCAGCTATTATTTGGCCAATTAGAGTTTCGTGTGGGCACTTCATGAATGCATATATTGTGTTAGCCACACATCTAAACAGCCATTTGACTATAAGAAACGTAAGCATGGCCTGAAGAAGCTTAGCACAAATTTGGTAACACATTGCCAATGATCCTTTTCCTTCTTCTTTTCTATGATAGTGAGCACAAAGCACTATCAAGAGAAGGCTCCAAACTGCCATTACGCTTTTTGTTAAAAGACTGCGCCACCACGTCCAAGCTAACAGTAGTACTTAAAGAACCGAAATTTGATACGCTTATGGAACTTGGCATAACAAATGACAGGTGTAAGAAGAAGCATGCGTGTAGAATGATTGGATTAACAACTACTCGCCGTGTTCGGGGTATCTGCTCGATTCAACTAGCGCACTCTTACTTGATGCTGGTTCGAGGTCAGTTTTCTTCTGCTTTTTTATGGCAGTTATAAGCTGTGGAAAATATTTAAGAAAACGCAGATCCGCTGATGATCAGGATATCTCCTAGTTGCGCTATAGTTTTCATACTGTTTTCAGACTGTTACACCATTCACTGGTTAAAGTATCCTATAGAAACTATGTCATTATAATTATAATTATATACAATTTGAATTCAATATATAAATATTAACATATTACCCAAATGTCATTGTCATTGAAAATGGGAAATCAGTTTATAATAGATTTGTTAAAATGCTTGCTTCCTTTAGGTATATTGTCATTTGTATACAAGTCTGGGCATTGCAAACCACTTCACTAATTCTCTTAACCTTTATTTATTTAAGCATTCTATAAGTTTCCATAAAGTCTCCACAATGGGACAAGTTAACATTTTAAGAACTGCCCAAAAACATCGAGTCAACAGATCCATGAAGGTATTAAGAACACTCATGCATTGTTTTACCAGCTGCATACCCAACTTGATCAGTTTTATGACAGCCTTCAGCTTATTAACTATCGTAGGCACTATATTGCCATGATTTTCCAACATAGTGGTCAAAGCTTGCTGCAGTCCTGATATTACTTCACTAAATTCGCTGATCTCTGAGCCGCACTGTAAAAATGCATACAATGCATATGCCACATATTTATACAAGTGCACAGTAGCTTCAAATATGCACTTCAGCTTGTCAAATGAAAATACAGAACTTATAAGGTTTTTAAAAAATTTGTGGTCCACAACTAACTGCTTCTGTCCTTCTACTTTCCTTCCATCACAGTGAGCACAAAGTGCTATCAAGAAAAGTACAGCGAAAGCCATTTTGATTCGGCAGAAGATTCTCTACGTCTGTTGCACCACCTCGCGGCTAACGGTACTATTTAAGGAATCGAAATTTGCTACACTTATGGTACTGTGCATAGCAAATTGCAGGCGTAAGAAGAAGCATTTGTGTTTTGAAATAAGTTGAATGTAATTTGTCCAATCTTAACGAAATATATACATCTTCCCAAATGATCGTCTGCAGCTTGTAGAATATAGAACAAAGAACAAATGTTGTTTAATACATGTGTTAAATAAAGCTGACCACTAGAATAAAAATGTACATATTTTGACCTCAATTAATTTCAGTAATAATAATAATGCTAGAGTCGTGAGTCGTGAGTCGTTCGTTTATAACTCAAGTCAATTGAATACGTTTACCTAACTAGCAATCATACACCTGATTAGACCACATCCAATGCGAATTAAGCCAAGTCCAATTGCGTATGCCTCACGACCTATAAAAACGAGTTGTGCCAACTATCTGTCAGTTACCACAGAAGCTCTTTAAAATGAAAGCTTTAATAGTTATTTCACTCTTTGTAGTTGCTAGAACTGAAAACCACCTTAATAGAGACCAGAATTCTGACTTGGCTGATGCCAAGCAACAGCTTGATTATCGCCGTCCTTATAGAACAACTGCCGCTTACTACGGACTATCGGAGGAACTATTGGACTCCGCCTCTCCCAGAGATGATTTCGACCATATTTGGATAACGTCGCAAAAGTCAGACATTCTCAAACAAGAGCCAATCGCCCCAAAAGGGTTAACTACAGAGCGAACAACTACAAAACGATCAACAACAAAACGATCAACAAAACCAGTAACAAGAACAACAACAACAGGGAAATCAAAAACAACAACCACCAAAACAACAACAGCAACAACAAAAATCACAACACGCAAAACAACCGTATGCACAAAATTGAAGTAATTAAGTATACGTTGAGGTACATCTATTATTTTATGATATCAATTTTCATTTGCTCTCATTTAGATCTTTCGATGAGCGCTTCAGGTCATTCGAAAAAAGAAATAATGGAAGTGCAACAACGGAATCGTGGAGAAGGCCAAAAGAACCTTCGAAAGAAATTTTAGAGGAGCTACCACCTAGCGCGCTAGCCTTGAGGTTATTGGATATGCGTCTTGAAAAAGGAGGAAATTGTTTTATGAACATCATGCAAGCACAAATTGATAAATGTAAGGAAGTCGTAGCATCTTTTCTAGCGTGTATGACTTTAGAGAAAGGTAATGAGCTCAATGTAACAGTTTTTATCAAGGAGAAATGTTTGCAAATAGTGAACAAAATTGACAACCTTCAAGATTCGTGTTCGATTGTCTCGTTAGGTTTTCTTTGCTTCGGCCACACGTTGTTGGCATTAATCTTCGTAGCTCAGATTAACATTACGATAATGCATTCCCTGTTTTGGGCTAACCTACGACTTATTCCGGAATGCAAGCAAAAATCAGCTATGGACGTTTTTTGCAATACACTTCAGTTCAGTGTCGATGTCGGTATGTGCTTATATTCATCCTCGAAAATACTTACGACTTGAAAAAATTAAAAATGCAAATATTGAATAAATCTATGTATAGTTAGCTCTTAGCAATCCCAAGTATTTTGCCTTATTAGATCACTGCGACAAGGAGATACCCTGAACATTGCGAAGAGGTGTTTCTCCCACCATTTTATCATAAGTGTATAAATATATAACAAATGCTTAGTTTCCAGCTTTTGTGGTTTGCAAGAACTCGAAGCTCACATGGACATATACTTTATGTAGTTCTGGGTTTCTGCAATGCAGACAACGATTTGTGTATTTGGATGGCATGTGGAGAAGTTGAAGTTTTGTTATTTCAATATTTTCATATTCGCTAATAGATACAGAAAATGTTGAATAAGTAGCTTAGATTAAGCCTCAAAGAGAGAACGAGTTAACTTTTTTAGCATTTAATTTTATTCTTTGCAAGTTCAAATATGCACAGCTATATATAACACAGCCGAGTCGGTCGTTCAGGTTAATCCGCCCATACACTTGATAATACCCCATATTCCTTCAAGAATCTCACACAGTGATGGCCTAATCGCGTACCAGATACAACGTATTGCCAAAGTAATTAACGTCACTCGAAAACCAATAATCGATTGTATAAATTCAAGAGCGCACATCAAGATTTTAAGGATTCCTTGAAAAAATTTACCGATCACCTTAAGCACACTTTCACCTGGTGAAACCTTTAGGTTCTCTATTGCTTCATAAATGCATATGATACTTGCAGAAATTGGATTCTGCAGGGCTGTACATCTAATGAATCTCGCAAATATCTGGGGCATCAATATAAGCATGCCGAATATTCCTTTTATAATACAAAAAATCGCCTTCCCCGTAATTATGTTCAGAAGTATATTTAAAAAAAATTTGGGTCCATATGCTATATCAAGCGATTCAGATCCCATCTTGCTTCAACTTTTCCGTTATGTCTTTCGTTTGAAGATTTTTACGACTGTTCCAATACGTCGAAGATAACGGTACTATTTAAAGAATCGAAATTTATTATGCCTATGTTAATTTGCATAGCAAATTGCTAGCGGAAGATAAGGCATTTACATGTTTTAATATGTTGAAGCTCCGCAACACAAACGTGATAACTCCAATAATAACAATAAAGTGAATAATAAAAATAAGCTCGTTATATAACACAAATCCATTGAACACGCTTATCTAACTAGAAATCATACAGAACACCTGACCATATCTAATTCGAATTAAGCCAAGTTCAATTGCGTATGCCTCGCGACCTATAAAAACGAGTGGTGCCTGTCTGTCTGTCAGTTACAACAGAAGCTCTTTAAAATGAAAGTGTTAATAGTTATTTCACTCTTTGTGCTTGCTAAGAGTGAGAGCCACATTAGTAAATTTCCGAATTCCGAATTGAGTAATGACAAGCAACAGCTTCTTCATAGTCGACCTTATAGACGCATTCACCATGTGAAACGTCGTAATGGTAGGAGATTTGATTCCAATTTATCCACATTCGAGCTTGGCACTCCTTCGATATTGCCACCCAAGCAAAGAGATCAGCTAAAAAAACCAGTAAAAACATCAAAACCAAAAAAAAACCATCCAAGAACGTTAACACTTAAAGCGGCCAAACGAATAACAACACGAACGCCAAAAGAGACGACTCCTGCCACGAGTAGTTATTTTAGACATGGCAGGGATCCCTTTCAAAATGATGTGATGGGTCAAGAAAATATTTTAAATGATGAAGCCAGTAACATTATCCGTGCTGCTACACCATGTGACCAGACAACGAAGTATTCAAATTTGTTTTTATTACGGTCTTTTCGACTACTAACAGTAAATTTCTTTACCATTTATAGGAGTTTCAGCGAGCGTTTTGAAGAGTTCGAAAAAGGCGCAGATGACGAGACGTCGACAACATGGTCAACTCCAATTTTGCCCCATGTTTTCAGATTAAGGCCACTATTAAAGCACAATATACGCCCCGCTATAGATACAGCCACTTCATTGTCTAGTGAGTTCGATTGCTTTACTGTCGCATTAAGAGATCAGCAAAGAAGAAGTATAAATTATCTGGAAACGGTTTCCTGTATTGACTACGAGTCAGGCGAGAAGAAAGACGTACTAAAGGGTATAATACCAAAAATGAGGAAGATCAGTAAATTATCAACAACGGCCTTAAACCATTGTCAAATCGAATTTTCACCGTGCATAGTTATTAGAACGGCAGCGATGGCCGGTATCATTATGTTGAACTGTTTCATTGTGGCCGAAGTAGTTTGGATAGATAATAAAATATTTCCGGAATGCATACGACCTTTAACTATGGATATTTTTTGCAATGCCTTAAAATTTTCTCTAGATTTCGGCATATGCACAGCCCTATTCATTGCACAGTTTTTAAGATAAACTTGTAAATTATATATATAGATAATATTAAAATATATATAATATCTTTTGAGATGATGATTTTGTTAAAATGCACGTAACAGCGCGTGGCAGGTGTAGCAGACGACATATCTTCTTGATCATAGCAACGATTTAAATATATATTATTGTATACTAAACGTAGATAGTATATCTAAATATTATAAAATAAGTAAAAGCAAGAGACTTTTAATGCTATATGCACAAATGATAATTTCCCATTTTCTGGAGGTATCGAAATTCAAAAAATGGAAACTCTTTTCAAAATAGTAAAAACCTGTACTCTTGGCATGTAACATATTTACATTACAATAGCATCATAGGATGTAACATTGCTTAAAGTACATTTACCAAAGGACACTTATCAAGCGAGGTGGACCTACAAGTAGAGTAAATAAACCACGCGTTTTCCTCATTCAGAAGGTGCAAATATGGTCAATATGGAAGAAGCTTCTTTTTTAATTAATTAACTTATTCAATGCTTCAATTAGAGCAGTATATTACTCAGTTGTAGTTATTTGACCTCGCTGACAAAGTTTGTTTTTAATTATTATTTTTTTTTTGGCAACCGCTGAAATCGGAGATATTTCATTAAATTTATGAAAATAGGCTTCGTGTCTGTTTCCAGATGAACACGAAAGACCGTATAACTGATCCAAGAAATCATTTGAATGCGCCTGCAAACCATAAAATAGTATAGAATGACTGGAACATCAACTTCTATTCCAATTATTATTATCGACAAGAACGAAATGGGATGAGCTATCGAGCTGCGTTCGATATACATGAAATTACATTTCAAATTCAAGACTCCAGCCTTTGTAGTTCGGACGGACAGATGGACAGACAACAGCCTTGGTCAAAAATATACTTTACTTGATGGGGTCTCTCAGGCGTCTGTCTGTCAGTTGCATGCAATATCACAAAAGCATTAAACGCTGATTTCCCATTTTCAATGGGTTCAAAGTATCAAAACAAAAGACGAAAAACCTATTAATTTATTTAATTTGTTTTATTTGAGCTGCATTTTAATCTGACTCTTTTATTCCATTTACAAGACACGATTAATTTCTAAAATTCCTAAATTTGTGAGCAAAAAGTAATATCAGATATGAAGGTTATCGCTAAGCCTAGTAATGCCCGCGCACTCGGTAATTTACAAACATCAGCTTTCGCCGCGTTTATATAGATTATACTTTTAGCTATTTGAATTACTAATTTGTTGACTTCGTGATATTTGGCCAGATTTGTGTTTAGGCAGTTCCCTGCCAAGCCTCTACATTGTTTTTGTACATCCAATAGTATTTCCTTGATTTCACTGGCCGGTTTCTGTATACTTCTAAAATTAATTTGACTTGCAGGCGTCTCCGGACAGCTGCGCATTTTAGTTAGAAAATCATCTGCACTTTTCGCTAAGACATCGGTCACTAAAGTGTGACAGTCAGCAGACTCGACGTTCGTATTGCCCTTCAGTAAGTGCGCCAATTTTTTGTGCTTTATTGGCGATATCTTTACCTTTTGTTCCTGCACAAGAAGCTGAGACCAATTAATTTCTTTCACTCTGGCCTCATCTTGCGGCATATCTGCACTAGCTGCCTGAAGGAGCATTGCACAAAAAATCAGCAATGCGAATTTTACACCCATTTCTGCAAGAAGTCCAAATTGTAATGGCCGCAAGATACATCAATATTTTAATATAATACTACGAACACTGTTCAGCTAATTGGACGTGGAGCAATTGAAATTAGATGTGGCTCGAAGTCCGTTGCTTAAATATATCCCATTATTGTCATATTCTCTAACAAATAGGGAAAGTCGATAAGTTTGCGACTGGGAGATACCCTGCACCAGAAATAACAAGTTAGTAAGAGATACACTGAACCCTTTGAAGATGTATTTTCCAATCAGTCGCACCAGATCTGACCATATATGCCACGCCTACTGCTGCCTGTTAGCCCATTATACCCACTACGAGTGAGTTTAGGGTATAGAAAGACAGGTGTGCAAACATTGCTTGAAACCAATTTACTCCTTACACCTGAACAAATATTAACAAGTAAGAAAACTCAAGTCGGGCTGCCCGACTAGGAAATTTTAGTGCAATTTTCAGCGCATGATCTACATATTCTATTAGATTATTAGAAATGCAGAATCCTTCACTTAGTGGCCCTATTTCCAACTGAACTTATTTTTAAAGAATTTGGCAACATTTGGAGCAGGTATTCAAGATCCAACCAAAATTCAAATTGAATAAAATATACACACAACTAACTACAACATTTTTAAGGTTCTAGCACTCGATCATGTTTTTATTCGATAACAATTAAATGGGAATAGTTATCGAATATAAATATATTTTTTTTAATTGCTGTTTTTATTTGCAATCTGTTTTATACTAGACAATAAACAAATTTGTTAACAATAATATTACGTAACCGGATGGCTTGGGCTCCAATGAGATCAATCCATATATTTATCTACTTTACACATTTATCTATTTCTGTGGGGTAGGTCTAGGACATGTAATCTTTTGAGTCGCCTGTGGTTGCTTGAGTCATCCAGTAGTCTTAGTGCAAGAGCATTGTCGTGGTTATGTAGTTTATTCATGTATCGAATATATGAAACAAATTTGATATGCGCGTGCTCTAGTCTCTAGTTCTTATAAATGGGATCGACGCATTCACACACATGGACGACTCGACTTGTCGTCCTGATCGGCCTGTTACACACATTTGCAAATGAACTAATAATTTTTCTCAATATATCTGAAGTATTGTATGATAATCATGCTTGAAGGTTTACTTTGGAAGTTAATAAAACAAATTCAATTAGTCTCCGATTTTTTATATTAAAATCATCTTAAATAATCAATTTTTGGCTTTGAAAAGTTTGGTTTTGATTGTGTCTTTTTGGCATGCCAACGTTTCTTGAACAGCAGTGGAACATTGGATAATGACCTCTCTTACTTCCTTCCAGACGCATTCGAGGAGCGGAACCTTAAAGTCCAATTCTCCATTAAGACTTGATTCCATTAAAAACGTGCACGACTCCATTACTGCGAGCTCCTGTGCTAGCTTACCGGCACCGCATTCTGGCGTGTCCTTAACGCAGTTCTGGTTCGTTATTTCCACAGCCTCGGTCAGTCGAATCAGACTCTCCGAAACTTCGTCATCGATGTCACCTGTGCAGTTCTTCGCACGTGTGTGAAATGCAGCTGCCGCTGCTGCTAGAGATGTGACAGCTTTCTGGAAACAGTGGTGGAAATTGGGACTCGCAGAGCTCATTACAATACCAGTTGTAAAGCCAGCCGGTAGTTGCAAGCTCACGCAGGTAGCGCCCTGCAGGCCCGCAGACAGAATAATGATTGAAAATAGCTTCTGCATTCTATGAGTCTATAAAATTTAATAGTATTAAGAGGAATATTTTCGCGTCGCATTGACTACATCAGCTCCGCTTAGCGCATATAATTCAAATCGATGTAATTAAATTACTTCATAATATAATTCTAAAATTAGAGAGTTGTTTTAACTGAAACAAAATATTCTCCGCCTAGGCGATATTCTAAGTTCATCTATGCCAGTGAAAATGCTAACGAAAATGACAGTAACAAAGAGAGAAGCTGTGGTAGACTCCACGAAGCTTCTCCGGCTGTTCGTCTGCTTCTCTGTCCAGCTGTCCATTTGTCTCCTACTCAGACTTTCTTTGAGGAATTAAGGTAAGTATTAAAATGCTTAGGCGTATAATCTTTTTAATTTGTTCTGCTTAAATCTTACAATGCTTTGCGCTAGATATTCATTTCTATGTCGCCGAATCCTGGTGGAATCACGAGCTGAATCAGCTTTTGGCCAACTGTTGGCCATGCCAACTGGCCGTAATAAGTATATCATACATGGAACATTAAGTTGCACGGGATAGTCCATAGCCAACAATTTGTTGGCCAAGTCAAAACGTAAGCAGAATCCCAATCTGTGCGAAAGGATTGCCAGCTTGCTACGTGTGTGTGCCTAAGTGTGTGTGAGTGTGTGAGTGCATGCTGACCTCAGTATATTTTGCGAATGCTAGAGTCAAATCCGGGCATTTATCATGATTCAAATGAATTATTGAAGTATATATCTTTGGCAGTCCCTATTGGACTATCAAAAAGCTGCACACAACACACACACACACCCATACATATATATATATATATGTATATACACATATCCTTTCTGTTGCAAATGGGTTAGGTCAACTGTTGTTTGTTGGGTCGCAGGACCTATGTGATTTGTTGATTTATTTCATTTCTGTAACTGTGCTTAAATGGCAGACAATGTTTCTAGAGTTTCTGTGTTTTTCTTATAAGTTTCTTATAAGTTTATATACGACCCGATTCTCTCTCTTTAAGTACTTCCCACTAGCTTGAAAAGTATGGTTGCCTTTGGCGCTATCGATATTATAACATAAGGCTGAAATGAATTTCATTTAATATCTTCCCACGATTATCTTAGCCAACCATTCGACACATATTCTAGAGATGATGTTGATGATAATGATTCGAGCTTGCATCCTCACAATTAATTGTGTAGTCGTATATACCCCACCCCCAACTCAACTTTGGTACAAAAATCAATTTATTTTCATTTAACATGAAACATGAACTTTAAAATGTTGTTAATTAACTTAAGAACTTTTCAAAGATTTGTCTTGCTCTATTTAGTATCCATGTAAACCTTTTCATATAATATTTTTGGCATGAATTCAGATTTGGAATGTCGAGTGAATCAAGCAGGCACTCGATGGTCATGATGTGGATGATATTCATATCGAATTTTTCAGTCCATATGCATTCGGTGAGTATCGCACAATCTGTGACAAACTTTATGATTTGGGGAATTAGTTTTTTGCTTATGCCTTTTATGAACGCATCCAACTTTTTGTTCTTGCCATCTCGTTTACACCTCGTAATGCCAGATTTCAGCCGATGACACTGCGACTTATATGTGTTGAAGAAGTGCATTGTCAACTCTGACATATTCGCCACAGAAAATTGCTCGGAAAATTCATTCAACTCTTCTGCGGAATTAATCTAAAAGGTTTTACTAACTATTATGATCTCAGCCGATTTGAACAATTGGCAACTTACGTCAAAGGCACTGACACAGAGTAATACTAGCAGCAATGGGCCCATTTTGCAGTAGCTTCCAATGGGATCTATAAGAAAACTTTGCACGATGTCAAACAAAAACCAAATGCATTCGATATGTTTGTGAACCGTGTAAATCGACTTTTCACACATTGAAATGAACTCAATGTTTAATTTAATAAATATTATAATAATAATACTAACTGCACATATGCCACTAAACAGAACAATAAAAGTGGAAGTACGAGACTCAAATTAGTAGTTATTTTATTTACAATAAATAGTTTCACACAGATTTTCAAATTGTATAAATTATAATTATTTTTAATTAACACTTGATATATTTCACTTGCATATTTAACTACAAATATCTATGCTAAACAATTGGACAGATCCAATAATCAATAATCAAGTCAGAGTTGGGGAGCGTTCTACAAAATTCAAATGTTTCTATTTGCCGACGAGCAAGTCTCAAATCTCATTTTGCACATTTGGAGAGAATTGAGAATCGATCATAAAGAAATAAAAATCGAGAAAATGACAAACTTACATTCAAAATTTCAAGTGAGACAAACAGAGAAACAAACGAAGCTGCCTAGAGTTTGTGTACTTTATGGATCTGTCAGCTCTCTTTCCATGTATTCTTTTGCAGAAATTTTTAATTGATTGAACCTCGAATTATGTTCAAAAGAAAAGCAAGTCCAACTATCCATTTTCTTATGATATAATAATATTAAGCTAATTATATCATGAGCTTAATATTAATATTGAAAATAAGAATCAAAAAACTTGAAATTGATGTTCTAAAATAATCGCATCAGAAATTACAAATGGAATGCTTCATTCCTTAAGTAAATGAGCAAGCATAGTGAAATAAGTAGCTGCAGTTGATCTATATACTATATTATATATATATAAAGATATATATATAATATCCCATCAGCTGCTGTTCAAATAGAGCTATTTTTATTGCGTGCCGTTAACGAACTGCCATGTCAGAAGTAGTTTTGTTTTTTGTTTGTCACGCTCTCTAAATACTAAATAGTCCCCAAATATTGAAATTGTCGGGTATTGGCTAATTGTGAACATGAAGGGGCAGAAGCCTTTGTAGCAAATTACTTAATCTGCATGCGAAGACAATTACCAATCAACAGGATATTATGCGTTAATCGCTTTAAACAATACCCAGGCAAACAATTGTGGAATTTCGTGGCACGCAATTGGCATTTACTGTCTTAAACTAATTTTCGGCCCAGGGACCGCTTGTAGGCCCGACCAGCAGCATTTAATGAGCGGCCCCAAATCGAAGACAACAAACGATTTTTCGAAGGGGCAATCAGTCAACACTGCAGCTCGAGCAGCTCGAGGCGCTGGCACCCGCAGCTGCCCCATCCACAGAACGTGTCCAATTTTACTAATTAGAGCAAATATTTGTCTGCTTGATAAATTTGGTGGGTGGCGGGCGTCGCCACCCACACAGCACCGCCCCGTCATTACCAGCACGCACAGCAGAGCAGTTTGGTTGCCTGTGCCCCGCCGCCTAGCCAAGAATTTAATTACGCGCCGCACTCAATGGAGACAAAAATCAGTCAACCGCGTGCCAAGCCCCTTGCCCCTTCACTTACGCATGCCCAGCTAGCCGATACAGGCAACAGTTCCGGCTATTTGTTAGCTGGAAATCAGTTTTGTGTGCCTGTCAGGCGCTTCCAGGAGTCAAGAGTTTCGCTTCTATTCGCTCTGCGCTTTTGCGAGCGAATGCGAAATCT